ATTGGCCTCAAGAGGATTTCCATGGAGTGTATTTAAAGCCAAAAACATGCATTGTAGTACTTCATTTCAAGGTCAAAATCGTGTATAAAACACGCCTTTGTTTCTAGCAACCTCCACACTGCCTGGTAACTCTGTGAAAAGTGTTCATGTCTGTAGCGTTGCCTGAGGTCTGAATACAGATGTGCGCGATATGGGTATTAAATCCTCGCCACATGTGCATACCTCAACTACAGTGTGATTAAATAAACAGAACCTGCTCTAAATCTCAATCTCACTCTCTCAATCTTTTTCTTTCTGTCCATTAGAACTGGCCAGTAAGGAGCGAGAGCAGCTTTCCGAGCGTGAAGATTTGTCCCGTAAATCCAACGTCACTCTGATTCGCAGCAGTCGTGATTCCGAGTCAAAGTCCCTCAGTGAAGTGAACAACACTGACTCCCTTCACTCATCCCAGGACTCTTTAGAGCAAAGCGCTGCGTCGCACAGTGCTGACCCAACCGATGCCAGTCCTGACGCCAGCCCTGATGCCAGTCCTGACGCCAGCCCTGATGCCAGCCCTGACGCTGATCGGCCGTTACCATGGAATGGCAAATCCGCCTGAATGGAAAAAACATCGCAAATGTCGCGAGCTCTTACACTGTGTGTGTGTACTGTGGCATAAACCTCATAATCCCGTATGGGTGCTGTACATAGCACTGTGGCCATTATATCGTAACGCTACTGTTTCCTCTGCTCCTCGGGAGGGGGAGGGGTCAAGCTGACTGATGTTTCCATGACACCAAGCATCGCCATTGGGAGACGCTGGGATGCTGTGTTGTCATGGCAACTTTTTTTCTTTGCAAGGAGACAGAGCTCGGGCCGGAAGCTCTGGGTATCCAGAAAAAAATGCGACGCTGTCTCTTCACCTTCATTTTCTGTTTCAGTTCTTTACTTTTGTAAATTGGCTTTCGTTTTGTTTTGTTTTCTAGTCATTTGTATTGGTAATTTATTAAATATTGTTCTGCTTCCCTTTAAGCCATAATCCATTTCTTTTGTATATTGTTTCCCTTGATGCTGTAGACACTATGGCATAACACTGCAGGAAGAAACACTAAATGAAGACTACATGAACATTGTGACTCTTTGCATAAATATACAGACGGGAACTAAAAACCTGAAGGAAATAACAATGGCTCTGCTGTACTCTGGGGGGCATTTATTTATTTTGCTGACATGGTTTGGCAACACCTGTCCTCTTGGAGTGAAGCATCACTACAAATCAATATAATGATCCTCTGACTAAACACATTTATCTTATGATGAAATGTTTCTATCCTGATGGGCGTGGTCTCTTCCAGGGTGACTCCGCCCCATCCACAGGGCATCCGGGCTCACTGCATGAGAATGTAAATGATATAAATCATATTCTATGACCTTCGCACTCACCAGACCAACATAATTGGATACATATCCATTTGATATTTTGGACTGGCATGTTAGATAACGCTCTTCACCACCATTGGCTTATTGGCATTTCCTTTGATTTGGCTCCCGTCTGTATCTTACGGCAGCTCCCTAGATAGGCAGCATTCCTAAGATAAAGGCAGTCCTCCCATTCAGAAAGTACCTACCCTGTGAGTTCTCTTATTTTTAGCAGATTGAAGGGCAGCACTGCATTCCTCAGAGTGTGGGCAATGCCATAATTCTGTTCACCAGATTAGCATGCCGTGGAAGCTTTGAAAGAAATAGTGACTGAGACGGAGAAGTTTGTTTATAAATGTAAACAAGTTGCTCTTTTCACAGCGAACACTTCTATATGTATATTTGTGCTTGCAGTCGGTAATGTAACACGACCTCACAGATTATGCATTTGACTTACTAGCTACTAAAACCCTAATGGATATTTCGTTTTGTCCCTATAAGGCAGGGGTGTCAAACTCATTTTATCAACCACATTACACTTAGTCCAATGTCAAGTGGACCAGACCAAAAAAATCTTTTTTTTTGTTACTGATTACACATCAAAGTCTCTAAAATATGTTCATTTATTTGCATTTACATAATGCATAACCCCCAACCCCTTTAACTTTTACACATTTTTCAGTGTAACATCTTGGAACTGGATTATATGTCATGAGAATAGCCCATAATAGGGAACTGTGGGGGGTGAATCAATATAGTTTGCAAAATTATTTACAAATAAAAATAGTAAAAGTTGGGCTTGCATAAGTATTCACACCCGTTGCTGTGAAAAGCGATGCATTTTGTCAGTAGTTGAGTTTATGGCCTCACTCTGTTTTGCCCCCTAGTGGAATAACAGAGACTAGCTCTTCATTTTTAAAACTTTCAACTCAATTACAGCCCACAAGCTGATTTTACTTTATAAGGAACGTATTCTAAATTAATTTGGTGGGCCGGAAGCTAGAACTTTTAATCATCCGATGAACCCTTAAGGAAGCCCTTTTTTTCTAACAGCGCTGACGTGTACAGCATCAACCCACAATCCATCCTCAGGTTAGGTAATAAGTGATATTAAATAAATATCACACACACAGTGTATACAAAAAAGGTTATGATGTATGATGATGAGTTATAAACACAGTGGATGCTTCTGGGACCAAAATGAGAGGAGGACCTTTGAAAGATGCAGTTATTCAGGCAGCTTGTTCTTTTTCATACAGATTAGGAAACAAATACATCATTATACTTCAAATCAGCTGTGCATATTTCATATCAGAGTTTTCTAACATTGAGCAAATGTATATGATCAGCTGCAGTTATCTATTCTACACATCACGATCATTTATGAAGCATTAAATCATTTTTATAAACACAAGAATGCTATGAGTTTTTAGGTTGGAAGCATTTCTGGGTTTTCCTTACGTGCCCCACACACACACACACACACACACACACACACACACACACACCGAAAACAATTTTATCTTCAAGACCTGATGCAAGAATATTAGTGGAAAAAAATGCAAAGTTTATTTCTTTTTAATCAGATCAAGCTGCTGGCTGTCTGACAGGAAAAGGACAACAAATTGTTACACTAAATTCATCTTGGCACATCGTTTGTAAAAATGCGGAGCTGATTTATTAATACAATATCAGCACAAAACTGTGGCCCGGAAATAACGTTGTCATTTTAATCCTTTTCATGCAGTATTTACACTCTCACACCCTCATCACCAGTTTGTTGATGACCATTTATAAAGTATTTCATCTTAAAGCATAATTGGTAACGCTTTAACGTTAAGGTTCCCTTAACTGAAACATTTAATACATTAACAAGAAGAAACAGAGAACTTCAACATGAATACACCATAAGTAACATTAACAAAAGGAACTAACACTTGCATTAATGGATGTTTTAAGTAATAAGCCGAGTATTCAACACCAACGTTAATAACATCAGCGAATAAAATAAAGCACACAATGATCAGCACGAACAGCAGCTTAATGAACATTGTTGTTAACTGTCGAAACTCAGAACTGAGGCTGAAAAGCAAACTGCGATATTTTCACCTGGAAACCTGAATTCAGTACATTATCAGCATTTAGGAACATTACATTTGGAATTCATTTCATGCTCATTTATATAGACTTATTTTTAGTCACGGACTGAATACACATTACTCATTGCTTATGTTTTTAACGCGATGTTGAACACTTGTTAATGTTAACTAATGCGGTATATAATGTTAGGTAAAGGAACATTAACGTAAAGCATTACCATAACATTCCTGCTCTTCAAACTCACGGCTTCATATTATTGGTCCTTTGAAATGAAAAGATTATGAAAGCTAAAGTTCATGAGCTAATCTACAGTACTATTCAAAAGAACAGAAACACCTGATTTTTCCAAAAAAAAAAAAAAAATACACTTTGGTATTAAATTTATGCACAGTCATCAACTTTCACTATTTTTTTCAAATTAGTTTCTAAAATGAAAAAATAGTGAAAGTTGATTTTAATGCATGAATTTAATACCAACATAAAGATAAAAAATATTTTTGTAATATTTTAAACCCAATCTCCAACTGAGTACTTAATAATTAGAACTTATAAAACAGGAAAAATCCCGTATTTACTTGTATGAGTAAGTGCATGCAAAATTCCAAAGTTGTACATGATGTTTCAAGAGAAACAAGAAAAAATTTTGGGACAAAAGTGTTTTTGAATCTGTAGGAGGTGAAACATTTAATAGTCAACAACATTCCCTAAAAATTCTACATATCTAAAGTTTAAACAACAGATTGCTTCACACAATCTGATTAACTGAAATGTGTTCTAGACATAATAGCATGGTTTCACCAAATCTGCATCATGGTGCTGACCCTGGGTTGCTAAGTAACAGCAACAGTTACATTACAATAAGCTGCTTCGAATCATTAAAAATAGAAAGTAGAATTAGAAAAGATTACAGAATATTAGAAAAGATACTTGCATCTGTTGGCCTGCTTTGGTCAGATTCGGGAAAAAGTGTGTGAGATTATAATTACTATTATAAAACTTATTATAAATTCTTATGAATTTATTGTAAATATTACTATTAGAATAACAGTAGCATAGGCTTGTAACTGTGACCAACAAGTTGTTTTATTCAAGTTTTGTACTGAACACCTCCCTTGAGGTCAAAAATTATATCATAAATAATATTTCCATACATTTAATGATCCTTGCTGCTAGTAACAAATACAATATCGCTTCATTAGCTGGTAAATCAAGAAGTAAAGTGAATTTTTCTTCCTCATACTGTGAGTTACTTACGTCAAGTTTACACTGAGATTAGTCTGTTAAATACTGTTTCCAGAGAGGTTTTAATTATAACTATATGTTTAATTTGTAAGTATATTGTAAAACAATTGCTGTCAATTTACAGTGTTTATTTTACAGCAAAATACTATTTTATTTTTTTACAGGATTGCACTCTAAACAATTAGGCAATTAGAGCAGTGCACCGGTTTACAGTTTAACTTTATATGCTAGTAAACTGTGAAGCAGTGCAAGCTAGCTGAGCTAGTTGTGGCTCGGTGGTCAAGGCTTTGCATTACAGATGAGAAGGTCATGTGATCAAATCTCAACACTGCCAAACTGCCATGGTCAGGTCCTTGAGCAAGAACCTTAACCTTCTGCTCAGGCAAATGTACTGGATTATGTTTTATTTTATCCTGTAATCATATTTACAAGTATTTTACTTGGAAACATATAGTAATACACTGTAAAATAACACTGTTTTGCAACTGTGCTGCCCGTAAATGACCATAAATTTTACAGCAAGTAATATAAAAACACACATCAGTTGGCCTTTTTTTTCTGCTAAATATGATAACTATATTAGCAGCTACATTACAGGCTCGGCAAAGTCTAGTTACTCACCTTTCCACGATACTTTGCTGCATCACAACACTTGTGGTGTAACTACTTTGTGGTAGAAGAAATTGCAGATATCAAATATATATATTTGAAACAATGTTTTTTTGTTGTTGTTTTTTTTTTGCTTTACTTCTTTCCTCATTTTTGTATAAAAGTAATAGAACACCTGACGGCCGATATGTGGTCGCGAATAACGCCATGGATAAGAAGATCTACCCAATCACACCAACAAATATTGCTTGTTATTCATGACACACTCTCGTTCTACTGCGTAAATGTCTACATCTACACTCAACAACAAATATACCATTTCAAATATCACCTGGTTTCACCTCCAACAGCCTTTGAAACACTGGGCTTGTACATCCGATGAAGGACTTTTGTCCAAAGCTTTCTGGTTCTCTAGAAACTTGAAACAAAAGCTGGTATTACTAATAACAAACTGGAATACACTCTTCTGATTCCAATATTAGTCTGAAATATTGGATTGGATCAGTATTCAACGTCCAAATTTGTCCAAGAATCCAAAATGCTGGAATTGTACTGACCAAAAACTCAAAGGTCTGAGTACAGAAAACAAAAATAGAAGAAAAAAAAAAACAAGACAGGTGCATACCTAAATATACAAGATGTATGGGTTGTGTATAAAATTGCTGAAGAGTAAAAAAAAGTTTAATGAGCAGTAGGGTGTTTCAGGCAGAAGTTCTTCATCAGCTGAGCTAGCACTGTTGGAATTAATTACTAATTCAATAACACTTATAAACACTGAAGCAATTTTTTTTGCTTCTCAATAAACACTGACGCTGTGTATGGCTGTGCGATTTTTACAGCCTCTGCATTTCCACACAATCTCTACTTTGGTGTAAAGGCCATGTTGGTGTAGATACAGGAACACAAAAGAAAGACGTTTCTTCAGTAGAAAAACACTCCCTTTGCTATAGTCAGGATAGTTCTGATATAGCTGTCTATACAAATGTGTTTACAGATGTATAAAATTCAAAAAAGATGATGCAAAGAACAAATCTGATGGTTAATAAACAGTTTTAAAACTCAGGAATTGATAAAGCCACGATAAAAAAATCAGTGTGTTACTCCTCCTGTGTGTCTTGATCTTCGGGGAAAGTCTCCTCTTCCTCCTGAAGGGTCGAAGAAAAGCCTGCCTCACCTTTCATCATCGCTCCTGTAAAGGGAACATGAGATTTGGAGGAATCTGTATTTTCTGGTAGAGTCATTTGAAACTAAGCTGAATTTTCCCCTCCATTTTCTCGTCAATATAGTCAACTACCAATTCCCAACGACAAGCGAACTCTCCCCTATCATACCACAGCTACCAACCGGGGAGGCTGAAGGATAACACGTGCTTCCTCTGAAACACGTGAATCCAGCCAATTGTATCTTTTTGAACTGCTGCTCATGCTGCATCACATGGAAGCGTAACACTCTCAGACTATCCACCCTCTTCCGCATACACGAGCTCACTGATTGACAGAGGTGAGAGTAAGCCCCTCCCACTCTGAGAGCATGGCCAGTTTTGCTCTCTCAACTTGGCTCTTTTAATTCAAACTCACAATCTCCAGATGAATTTGGATTAAAAACATGCCATTGTTGATATGGTGATAAGTTTTCTTTAAGGAGACATTTAATTAGCATTTTTGAAAGGAGTCTCCAGTGTCAGTGCAGAATGCTGTGGTTTTGATAACAGGAACTAACTTGTTTCATGGACGTTGTACAAAAATGATCAGTAACTGTAAATGGATAAAACGTATAATGTCTTTTTCTTTATTAAATAAAAAAAACTGAAACACTGCTGTGGTGTAACAGGAATAAAACATTTCAGGACATGTTTTTATAGGAAAATATTCACTTCAGGGTAGTAACAGTAACTCTTCTTGGCATCGGGACTAGAAGTCACATGACCATCACTCCACACTAGTCAAATGTGTGTGTGTTCGTACCTGTGGTGCTCGGCTGGTCCACTGCTTCTCTGTCCGTCGGCTCCTCAGACAGCGTGTCCAGGTGGGGATGAGTGAGTTTGGGAAGATAGGGACTCTCCTCCTCACCGGATCTCTGTTTGTTGGCATGATCTTTACCTGCAGGAGTGCACACAAACAGTGTGAAACCCGAACACACACCATCTGGCCCAGCGAGACCAATTCAGAACCTCTGAATTAACCCTCCAGAACCATCAATATTCTACAGTAACCTTTTTGGGCCCGGACTCCCAAAAGCATCAGGGTGTTAAGAGTGAGCTTCTACCTATGGTGTGATCATTATCATTGTGTTAATTTACTGTATTTGTGATCTGAGACTGATGTGAATTCAAATAGACAATATATATATATATACACAAAACAAAGGGGTACGTCCACCACTTACAACAATATAATTCTGTGTAGAAGCTTATAAAGAAGACTCTAAGCACACCAAACACTCCAAGCATCCTCCATTTCAAGCTTGAAAAAAATCACCTTTATTTCTTTCATTCCAGTTTTCTGAACCCCCAATACATAAATAAATTAAAGTCCTAACTCTGCACAAAAACATTTCTACTCATCTTCCAGAAAATATGCCTTTTTTTTCTATACCATGAAAAAATTTCATCAGGGGTGTAAAAATAAGTATACACATCCTGACTGGGCTTACATGGGTGGAGCTTAAGATAAATATGTTCGGCCAATTCCAAACATAATCATGTAACATCACTAGTAGCATTTCTTTTCGTTTTAATTACACAACACTGGCAACATTTTCAAAGTTAGAAAAGCTAGCCAGCTACCTAAAAACACTATATCAGCTAGCTACGTATTTAGCTTATCTAATATTAGTGTTTTAGCAGTATATAAGTGGTGTTAAGTAGCTAGCCAAGCTAAACACAGCTAATTCACAAGGACTTGTATGGTGGACAATCCGCAATTCAAAATATGTTATTTAACAAAGAAAAACTTACAGTATAATAAAGTTTGTTTAACACTTGTGAACACTTAAGGAGTCTCCAGTGTCAATCAGCAAGTCTTTTATAACTGCTATAATGTAAGTGATAACAGGTGATAACAGAAAACAGAAAAACTAATTTGTTTTGCAGACATTCGACAACATTAAACTGATAAAAATTAAATAAAACATTACAGTCATTTGCTGGATTGCTGTGGTTATATACGGGAAATAAAACACTTCAGGACATGCTGTTGTAGAAAAATAATCAACTTCAGGGTGCTAAAAGTGACTCCCCATCATTTATTATTTTCCTATACCAGCATAGTTACTTATTATATAATTAAAACCAGTAGCCACATTTGCAGACTTGTTTGTGATTGGCTGACCAAATGTTCCTCAAGCTCTTCATTGATACAGGGACATCGGCCACTCTACACTGTTAGAATGTATGTGAGGATATACCAGTATGACTGTATGCAGACAGAATGAAACGCGAAATCGTTATATTGGAGTAGATAAGGTCACAGCAATGTTATTCCCTGAAAAATCTTATGTTTGTGAAATTGCAGGCAGATGCAGTGAACCATCATGTTTATTTGTATTTGTTATTGTAGTGTGAGCTTTTCATACTATTCCACTGATACACTGGGATTATTGCAGATGTAAATATGCTAAATCATACATGTTCATGTTTTGTGCAAGGCTGAATCGAGAACGAGCATATTGAGAAAAGACAGAGAACCTTTGCTGAGGTATTCAACATGAATATTGGTAAAAGTAGAGTGTAAGTATGTACACAGAAAGAGAGGTATAGAAAGAATTTCTGAAGAATTGTATACAACAGCTACAAGGAAGAAGATACACAGCTCAGATGATTCGGATGACGGATAAGGTTATCGCGAGACAGACGAAGGACTGGACGCGCTTTTCTGTCGACACGCTGACGTCTCTGATGACTCCCCTGCATGACCATACCAAAATAATGACAAACAAATGAAAAGATACAAGGACATTTTTTTTTAAAGAATGGTAATGTCAAATCAAAGTAAGGAAGAGAGAAAAAAGAGAGACAGAAAAAGACTCATCAGAAACGTTAGAAGCTTCCAGAAGAATCATTTATCATCATGACGATAGCTATGAGCTCTGTTCATTCAGAATTAGTTTGAAATGCGACCAAAAGCTGCACGTTTCAGACACTACCAAGAACTGGTTGTAGAGAAACTATGATTTATGAAATGATATGTCATTTCTGCTCAGTTCCGATCTCCACTTACCACCTGCCCCACTGCTCCCTGCCTGTCCATCACAACTGACATAAGACTCTGGGGAGCTGTGATTGGCCCACTGGGCCGCGGCACCATTTGGCTGCTGTGCTGCGATTGGACTGGGCGTGTCCGGGCTGTCAGAGAGCCCTGCCTCCGTCTGCTCATGTCTCTGAAAGTGCTGCTCCACCACCAACTGCAGTTCTGTGCTCGATACACACACATATACACACATACAGCACAGCGCCATGGACACATAGCTTGAGCCCAAAGTCTATGATAGTATAAAGGATCTGTATTGACTCCTTATAACCCAGTTTCCGGCTCTTTACATTTACAGTTACATTTGTGAAGTGAAATATGATATGCATTCAAGATACGAGATTGTCTTCTTAACTGTGACTATGTCTCTGAATTTAAATGAATAACTCATATACTGTATATCTACATTTCATAGCCAATACATGATATGGCAAAAAATGGAGAACGCATTATGAAAAGCAGACTCCATCAGGCGTCA